AATGTGTGAGAAACTACTCAGCACGTTTGCAGAGAGCTGTCAGAGACTTTGCACAGGAGCTGGTAGAATATAGTAAGTGAATGAAGTTGCTGCTTAGTGATGGGGTATTTGTGGGTTTGACTTGTGCCAGCTAAATTTCTCTAACTAGAGTTCTCCACTGTTATCCCTTAAAGTAGGTGTAGTACCTGACTTGCTCTTTTAGCCTGTTCTTTGTATTCTGTTTCTTTTAACTGAGCTGGAATACAGTGTGCCCATGGATGTGGATGTTCCAGTTGACTTTCAGGGTCACTTCAGTACATGAAATCACGAAGTTCTTGGCTGGGCAACCAAAAGTAGTTAAAATTCTGAATTTACATATCTTTGGAATAGTATTTGCTCAGCATGTTCATTGTATTAGCATAAAGTGTGAGTAAGTTTAATAAAGTAGTAAAATACATATTTAACTTGATCTGCATTCTGCAGGGTTAGAGTCTGCCAGTTTCTGTGGCTGTAAAACACTGTTATTTGGTACATTTTAACTAACGTCTATAAAATCACACTGTAATGCCTCTCTTTTGAAACACACTTGAGCTCAAAGAGGTCGCTAGTGAACTATGCAGTGATCCCTTCTGGATTGTGGTGGTGGTTTTCCTGACAGTATCTGTTCTTAGCAGGTGAAGAGGCAGAAAGGCTGATTTAAGATACCTGAAATGTTAAAATTCCCTGAAATTTAATATGCACTTGTGTTTCTAAATCCTGACTGATGTTAGTCACAAAATATACAGTGCTTTTTTCCTTCCCAAATGCTTGAAATGGTGTTGGTCTGTCTGGTGTTGAAGGTAGCTCATGTTCAGCTCCCGTCACCCACAGAAACAGGAAGGTTTGCAGTAAACTGTCGGAGTTGCTGTGGGGAGTTCAGCCTCTCCTCTCTTCTCTTTGCTTTGCAGGCTCAGCAGACCTGGGTGTGTGTCTCCATAAATCATCCAGTGGTTTGGATTTACCCATGAAGGTGGTAGATATGTTTGGCTGTTGTTTACCTGTGTGTGCAATACATTTTGAATGGTAAGAGTTTGTTTATGCTGCTACACTGCGAGTGGGTGATGCAAAGCAGCATTTGTACAAAGCAAGAGTTCAGTAGCTGCTGCATGTATCAGATGCCATTGCAGTATCACACCATAATCATGTTTTAGTCCATAAATTGCAAGTGAAGGTTGTTTTATTTTAAATTTAAAAATTAACTCAAGTTTCTACACAGTTGGGAGCATTTAAAGCAACCATTTGCCTTAAATAAATAGCTACCCTTTGCTTCCATGTAGCTCCTTTAAAAAGAAGCTTCCTTCTGCACAAATGTGTCTGTGTTCTGTGCAGGAAGGAGTGTGTGTGTAGTCACTCTTACAGTTTATGGCCTTTGGGGAAGCAGGAGGTTTAATAAAGGAAGGATAAATTCTCTGTGAGGATCTCATGAACTGGCTTGTAGAGAGATTTTTCCTTCTGGGTTAATTTAAAATAAATTATTGCCCTAATTTTTAAAGTTTGTCCAGATAAGTGGCCCAAAGACAGAGTGAGAGGACTTCCATACTGTAATGGTAGATTTAAATACCCTGATATAGAAGGGAGAAACACTCTTTAAATGCCTTCTTCATGCCATGTTCAAGGAATTATAGACAGGTTTGGGCTGGAAAGGACCTTAAAGCTCATCCAGTTCCAACCCTCTGCCATGGCAGGGACACTTTCCACTAGACCAGGCTGCTGCAAGCCCTGTCCAACCTGGCCTTGAACACTGCCAGGGATGGGGCAGCCACAGCTTCTCTGGGCACCCTGTGCCAGCGCCTCAGCACCCTCACAGGGAAGAGCTTCTGCCTAAGAGCTCAACTCAGTCTCCCCTCTGTCAGGTTAAAGCCATTCCCCCTTGGCCTGTCCCTACAGGCCCTTGTCCAAAGCCCCTCTCCAGCCTCCTTGTAGCCCCTTTAGGCACTGGAGCTGCTCTAAGGTCTCCCCTTAAGGAGCCTTCTCTTCTCCAGGCTGAACCAGCCCAGCTCTCTCAGCCTGGCTCCAGAGCAGAGCTGCTCCAGCTCTCACAGCATCTCTGTGGCCTCCTCTGGACCCAGTCCAGCAGCTCCACATCCCTCCTGTGTTGTTGCCCCAGAGCTGGATGTAGGACTTGACCTGCTGCTCACGCTCTAGGGATGGGGTTATAGCCTCAAGCACACACATGTTGTCAGGTGTGAAGCTTATATCGAGACATCCCGGATGATGGAGGTTTTGGGTGGCACTGGGCAATTTTTAGTTGCGTTTGTCCCTCTCCCTGCTTTTTTCTCACATTTTCTTCTGTGGCTTATGTTCACAGTTTACATGAACTTGTGAAACACAATGAAAATGGTCTGATATTCAGGGACTCGGATGAACTTGCAGCACAATTAAAGGTAAAGGCCTGACTGTTTTTTCTTTCCCACTAGCTGTAAGTGCAGAGGCACCACCATGTGAACTGCCTGTCCATATGTGTTTTTATCTCTATATTTTGCACTCTCTGAAGATATGGTTTGCCTGGGGAATGTTACTGGCCTCACTTATATTCAAGTATGAATCTGAAGCTGGTTTAAATGTTGTCACTGTTATAGGACCAGACATTAGAGTGCTCTCTTCCTGCAGCATTGTAGTTTAGTGTTCATGCTGGGGAGGCTAGAATGAGCCTAAAGCGTGATATGATGATATCTTAATGTGGTTTTCCTTTTAACTTACAGATGCTTTTCTTGGAATTCCCCACCCTGGAAGGCAAACTTCACAGCTTCAGGAAAAACCTCCGTGCGTGCAAGCAGTTGCGCTGGGATGAGAGCTGGGACCAGACTGTTCTGCCTTTGCTTGGGTGACTTTTTGTGGGGAGGAGGGTGTCAAAAAAGCTGATACCCTACTGCAGCTGCCTGGATTTGCTCAACAGTGAATAAACACTTTGTATTGGCTGTAGTTGCAGTTTTTAAGTACTTCATCTTGGAACCAGTATTTGCGTGCACCTCTTCTTTACCATTTGAGCTTCTTGCGTGAGTACTCATGCTGACAGTGCAGCTGAGGCTGTTTGCTGTGTGCTGACAGCATTAAGTCTTGAAGGAAGATGTGAGTCCCATGCTAAAGAACTTGAGCCTTGTCATCTGCACTGCCCTTCCTTCCTTATCCCTTGGGATGAATCTTTAGAAAGTGGGAAGGAGGTTTAGTTGCTCTAGGAACTCATGTGCGAAAATCTGTTACCTGTGCTGCTTAAAAGTAACTTGGTGAAGATACTTAAAGAACTATTACCAGATAGACCCATTTGTACAGTAAGCACTCTAGGAGGTGATGTGGGTATGTTTTCTTTCAGGTGGGAGATGCCCTTTATTAGAATTACTCAGGCTGAGGCTACAGTGAGGATTCTAATTTTTCCAGCCAGTTAAGATCACAGAAACATAGACATTGTTTGGAAGGGACCCTAAAAATGATTAAGGATTCTTGCCTCATCTTGCCTAGACAAGCTGTGGCTATTCTCTTGTATGATTTATTGAGACAGAACCATTTTGTTTTAAAGTTGTTTTCTTTTTTACAGTGTGTACAAGAAGGTGAAAGCACAGCCACTGGTATATGGCGGCTTTATGGCGCACTCAGAGGAAAAGAGACCTTTCAGTGTATGTTGTCCTTGTACACTGAAGCGAATGTGCCCATTTACTGTGAGAAAGAACATTAAAAGCTTCCCTTTTTGAACAGGTGACTAGAAAAGGACAAAATAAACCCAAAATATTTTATTAAAGTCCATATAACTACATAAAAGGGTACTTTGCTTCATGAGTGCTACTAAGAAGAAAAATAACTGCTACAGCTGAACCCAGGGCAGGGACACCTTCCACTAGACCAGGCTGCTCCAAGCCCCGTCCGACCTGGCCTTGAACACTGCCAGGGATGGGGCAGCCACAGCTTCTCTGGGCACCCTGTGCCAGCGCCTCAGCACCCTCACAGGGAAGAGCTTCTGCCTAAGAGCTCATCTCAGTCTCCCCTCTGTCAGGTTAAAGCCATTCCCCCTTGTCCTGTCCCTACAGGCCCTTGTCCAAAGCCCCTCTCAAAGTTTCTTGTAGCCCCTTTAGCTGTTGGTTTTCAAGCAAAATCCAGTAGTTTGGCCATTTCTCTGTAGCCATCAATGTGCACATGGAGATAAATTAAGGACATCCCTAATTAAACAGTAATGTCAAAAACTTCAGAGAGGTTTCACCTTTCCATAATGCATTTTTTTAAATCCAAGCAAGCAGTCTGTACAGAACTTTGAGCAACTTGAAGAATTTAGTGTTAGGGAGATAAAGGAGCTCCTGTGGGGGCTGCTAACACACATTTACTCCAGAAATAGCACTTGTGAGCTCTTCTTGGGAAGAGGTAGCTAAAACCTGTGTGGGGTTCCTTCTGCACATCCTACTTACTAGTAGTAGTCATGGCCTCCTTCAGCTTGAGGAGCAAGATGATTCTTGCTCAAGATGATTCAAGTTTCAAGTTTACCTTTGTCCACTTTCTCCATCCTACAGACTGAGGTGAAAGTATTTGTTCTTTTGAATAACTTTTAAAACAAGGCAAAGAAAAGGAAGTCAAAAGAGGAGAAAGAGCAGCATATTTCATGTTGTGCTTCAGGATCAGTAGCGTCCAACAAGAAAATGATGAATGGATTATGGAAAGCTTCAGAGAAGGTGAGGTCAGTTCTTCCTCCTCTACATAAAGCAGGGATACAGTGTATGATTCTGGTTTTGCTTTCTGGCTAGTCTGAGAGAATGGCTTGCCAATAGCTAGTTGTGGAAGTGACAGTCCTTATGTGACAGGAATGTGAATGAAGTTTCTGTTATCACTGGAGAGTAAAGATGCATCTGATTTACAGCACCTGATTTACCTCCTCTTTCAGCTTTTGGCACTATCTGCTACATTTACTGTAGGCAGTTTTCATTATTCATTTTTAAGATGACCCAGACTGCAAGTATGCAGGTGCATACAAACAAGTATAAAAAGACACAGACCATTACAGCTGGTTTTAATATTAAAAATGTATTTATTCCAGTGAAACACTGCTTTTTTCCCTTGTCAGCGTGAGATACTCATCCTGTGGTCCTGCAGACGTGCCTCCATTAGAAAGCAAAACATGGTCAGACAAATCCAGTTCATTTATGTTGTCTTCTACAGAACCAGAGCACAATATGATCAGGACTGGTTTTCCTATTGCTTAAGGTTCTCAGGTACCTTTCAGGGGCAGCAGTAATTCACTTGCTGGTAATTCACTTTGACAACAGCCCGTGCGTGGAGTTGTATCCTCAGTGCCTCTCCTGACAGTGTCTAGAACTTAAGATCACCTTGTTGCCAGGATGGGATATCTCCTGTTGCTCTGAAAACTGGAATTCTATTTGCCAAGTCTATATAAATAGCTGGAGAATAGTTACATTTGGCTGCACATCACAGAGGAAAACACGGTTGCTGTGGGCTGGAATAATCTGCCACCCAATCCCAGCTTTATCTGTAAGGATAAACACTGGGAATCAGATTCCTGCTTCATAAAATGAAGGGCAAAGGCTGCGTGTCCAATTTTGTACTAAGATCTCTATCATGCTGTTAAAGGAAGCCACAGGTGAATGCTTACCAGCAACTTTTCTTAAACATGAATGGCAATGCTTCTGCTATGCACTGGGCATGATTTTGTGAGTTAACCATGGGCTGCAGATCAGCTGCGCCACTGGGAGACTGCAAGAGATAGGCTTTTGAGGAGTCTGTGAAGGAAAATCCCAGATCGCTCCCTGGTGTACTTCCTAGAATCATAGTTAGGGTTGGAAGGGACCTTAAGGATCATCTCTTTAATCTCTAGCTGGGTTTTTTTGACCCTCACATAAAGGTTTGAGGCTGTATCTCATCACTGTGACAGTGCAGCAGGTTTTCTTCCTTTAAGCTTAACCCTTTGTTAGTTCCTTCTTGCCACCACACTTTGGATTCATCTCAGGTTGGCACTGACAAACATGAATTATGATAGATGGGACAGAGCAAAAAGCTAAGTTCCCATATCCTGAGCAAATCCATGTGGGAAAGGGACTGCTTTTAGGCAGAGCACTCTTAAATCCAGTTCTAGGATAAAAACCTCACTGTTGGGCAATACCCATCATCAAAACCCGCTCCTGTTCATCTCTACTTGGGGAAAGAGGCCAAGACTGTTGATGAAAAGGGCACATACCGAGTTGAGCCTGGAAGAGGTGATAGGTGTCTGGATTCCGGACTGTGGAAGCAATGTAGACCTCAGGAGGTTTTCTGTCTGCTCTGGAAGTGGAGAATTGCTGTAGCAGACCAACAAGGGCTCCAATGATCTCTGGATCATACACCACATCTGTACAAAAAGGAAAACATGACATATTTCTTGAGCATGGAGTAAAAAGCAGAATGGAAGCTACAAAACAAAAGTATAAAATACCTTGCCAAAGAGTATGATTTTTGTATTCAGGATTGAAAATTCCCAAGAAGAGTTCTTGGAAAACGCCTCTATTTTGTGTGCTATGTCAAGTTGCCCTCATCTCTAGTATCACTAAAAATCAGTGTTCCTTATTGTAAAGGCACTGTCAGATAATGTAATTAAGCCCAACGAGATAAGCAAAACCCTAGAGCGTTGGTGTTCTGCTACAACTGTCCTTAGCAGAAACTGGGTTGTTACAAACTATGTTTTAGAGGCTGATTGCAAAGGAGCTGGTTTGAACTGCAGCTCTTTTCATCTCAAATCATTTCCCTGAGAGCAGAAATAGCAATGGAAGGTCAGGCTGATGATGAAGGGGCACAAAACATCAGCCTTACCAACCAGTACCATGATCCTGAAATGTGTCAGCCCTGCTGGGGACTGAGGCTCAAGACGTGGTGGTTACTACACCCAAATGTGGAGGTATGTGCATGTATCACTAACAGACATCTCTGTTACTCTTAGAATCATACAATCAGCCAGGTTGGAAAAGACCTTTAAGATCATCAAGTCCAACTGTTCCCCAGCACTGCCAAGGCCATCACTGAACCATGTCACTGAGGGCCTTGTCTACATGGCTTGTGAACACTTTCACTGTGGTACCACTACAGTTTGTGAACACTTCCACGGTGGCTCCACCACTGCCCTGGGCAGCCTGTTCCAATGCCTGAACACCTTTTGGGGAAGAAACTGTTCCTAATATCCAGTCTAAACCTCCCCTGGTGCAGATTGAGGCTGTTTCTTCCTGCCCTATCACTTGTTATTTGGGAAAAGAGACCAATCCTCACCTCACTACAACCTCCTTTCAGGTAGCTGTACATACAAGTTTTGATACAACACAGTAAGGGAATGTCCTCAGTAATTACTAACAGCAAACAGTAGATACGTATTGATCACCTCCAGGTTTGAGCTGCCTTCAGGAATTCAGCTTGGGCTCTACAGTACAGCTGGCATGAGGTAACACTCAAACCCTGACTATTTTATAAGATTCACATATTTAATGTATTAGGTGACCATTTAATGACAAAGGCAGAATATTTTGTCATATTTCACCTGAATTCTTAGGTAATTCTTGCTTTGCAAAGCCCCAGATGAGGGAGTAAAATCCTCTAGCTACAGCTCATAAATGTTCCTACTGCTACATTTTGCAATATCAGGGTTTTTTTATGATTCCTCCAGATTTATATATAGGGGAGATCCAAAAAAGGGTTGTGATTTGGCTTTTTGGTGGGTTGGTTGGTTGCTTAATATGTTATCCCCCAGGAGAATGCCAAGACAGCCTGTTAGTATTGATGAGGCTCTGAGCAGTGTTGCATTTATAATCTGTTCCTGGATCTTAAAACGTAGAAGGGATAAATAATTTGCTTTTTAATGTTATGTACACAGCTGCTGAACATCTGGAAAGACTAAATGATGAAATGGACTGGGAGAAGATCTGTCACACACCTTCAGACACAGTGATTGAGACAGGGCTGAGCTCATCCTGCACACAGACACCTCTGTGCTTCCCCCTCTAATCTGTGCGATCATCCACTGTGAGGCACAACCAAGGGGAAGGTACCTGCTGCAATGATGACATCAGGTTGAAGAGCCAACAGTTGTTTTTCTGTAACTGAGCCCCACTCAAGTTCTGCAACAACTACTTTCAGGTTTTGGTGATTTGCTCCTTCTGCCTTCTGGCCTCCAGATTCCAGCTGGATATGCTGGGCAGCTTCGGGCTTCAGGACAAAGCCATTCAAACAGATGTTTTGCTTCAGCTGTTGGAGAACACGGTGGTGGTAGTCACTAAATATGTATGTCTTGGGATTGCAGGTTTTACAGATGGCAATTCCAGTGAAGCCGATCCCACTTCCTAATTCCAAGACTGTCCTGAAGGGTAAAGAAATACTTAGCAGGACTCTAAGTGGAGTTAGGAAATCAAACCACTTACAATCTAAGCTTTGTCTCAGATAACAGGGACGGTTGGTGAACACTGAAGAAGCCATTGTAAGGATAAAAATCAATCACTTGAAATACTGCCCTGGAGTGTGGTACAAAGCATTCCCACCATGGGGATGGGACATGTTCTCACCTGGTTTTAGCCTTCTGCAGCATGGTGGCTCAATCTAACCAAGCTCTTGTCATACTCAGTGGAGAGAAACAGACACTTGGGTAGTGGAGTTCCTTTCCTTGTGAGCTCCATATTTTAAATTAACTTAGATGGATATTTCCTCAAAAGTGCCTGTTCCTCTCACCTGCTTATAACAAAGGCCAGAGGAGGAGATCAGACGTGTGCACTTCCTCATTGAATATATAAAGGCAGATGGGATAAACTTCACCACACAGTGAGTGCAGTAGTTACTCACTAGACACTGCAGTAGCTGAAGTTGAGCAGCCAACTCCACAGAGCAGGTCAGACCACATGGTGTGACAGCTTTGATCTTAAAACCTGCCTTAAAAGCACTGCGAGGTCCTCTGACGGATTCAAGTTTTACTCTGACTGTCATGAACAGACCAGAGCAGCAGTTACCAGCAGCCAGAGGGTGTAGTCACTGTGGTTCTTTTGGAGGTACATTGTTAAGGTACAGTTGTGTGGTTCACTCACACTGTGAAACCTCTCTCCCCATCTCTCTGTCCAAGCTTATCTCGGTACCTGTTCCTGAAGCCAGAAGGGTTCTGCAGTGCCCACTCGGTGAGGTGCAGAGCAGCCTCCCATGTGACGAGCCCCGTGGTTCCTTCAGAGATCACTGCCACACTCTCAGAAAGGGTGACACACTCTCCTGTAGGCTGTGGACACACAAGGCCGCCAAGGTGGATCAGCACAAACATGAGCTTTGGAGTTTACAACCCATATTAGCACCTGGGAGAAGGGAGGAAGCACTCCAGGGGTTATTGTTAAAGCCAATTATTGCTTACTTCAGAGGATTAAAGTGATTTATAACACTGCAGCATTGGTTCTTACCAGTAAGTAGTGTTTGTAACAGTAAGTAGATTCTTCTTCATTTAAAATAGCTGCCAGTGCTTCGTACAGTTCATCTAGGGGCTCAGCTGTGGTGGATTCATGCTGTGGGAGATGGAACACGCTGGGTTTGGGTAGCAAATTGTAGTGAAACAGGAAACATTAAGTCATGTTTTAATACACTCTGTTATTATGTTTTATTCTGAATGCTATGGTTTGTTATTACACAAGGTCAAACTGGCCTCTTTTCAAGGAAAAGATAACTAAGTTGCAAGGAACACCAGAAGCATTACCTTTTTGATGAGTTCAGTTAGAAAGCATCTTCTGTACCGGGCTGAAAGGGGGTATTTCACACACAGAGGGTGGAGAATGGTCTAAAACAAAACCAGCAATTGAAGCCAGTTACCAAATGATGATTTTATGCCAGACAGGAAGGGGTTAGGTAAAAAGCAGGGGGGGGGAGTTGGTTGGGGGTTTTTGGTTTTGTTTTTTTTGTGCCACAAAGTGCATTCTGATTTAGTCAGTAGCTAGAAGTGATGTTGAGCCAGGAAAGGAAATTGGGTGACTTCTGGTTGGTTTCCTAGTTCCAGCTCTGTGGCAGAATATGTGGTTTTCCTCTTTTTGGAAAGTAAATAGCAAAACCAAGTGGAAAGAGAGACTGTTTTGGTCTCTTTCTCCTCTTGCTTTTCTTTTTACTCTCTTCCAGAGAGGTGCAGAGGAGGTCACGAAGATCCACTGAGGGGCTGGAGCGCCTCTGCTCTGGAGCCAGGCTGAGAGAGCTGGGCTTGTTAAGCCTGGAAAAAAGAAGGCTCCTTAAGGGGAGACCTTACAGCAGCTTCCAGTGCCTAAAGAGGCTACAAGAAAGCTGGAGAGGGGCTTTGGACAAGGGCCTGTAGGGACAGGACAAGGGGGAATGGCTTTAACCTGACAGAGGGGAGACTGAGATGAGCTTTTAGGCAGAAGCTCTTCCCTGTGAGGGTGCTGAGGCGCTGGCACAGGGTGCCCAGAGAAGCTGTGGCTGCCCCATCCCTGGCAGTGTTCAAGGCCAGGTCAGATGGGGCTTGGAGCAACCTGGTCTGGTGGAAGGTAGCCCTGCCTATGGCAGGGGGTTGGAACTGGCTGAGCTTTAAGGTCTCTTCCCTCCCAAACCAGTCTGGGATCCTATGATTAAAGACATCTGTGCTCAGGCACATGGGTCTTAATGTTGACGCTAAAAACAGCTAATAGCAGGAAGAGAAGGAAAATTGCTGTTCTGCCGGGCACAATAAAAAGCCGTGACTTTGATCTTGGTAACGAGGATAAAACCCAGCTGTGGACAGGAAGCGCTCAGCTCCCCGAAGATGCACTAGGCAGCCCGAGTACCGCTGCGACACCCAGCATCCTGCCCTACCCTGTGTAGAATATCCAGGAGCAGAGAGGAGTCCAGTGAGGTCCGGAGGCTGTGCTCAAGTTCCTAAAATACGATAAATAAAGGTAATGATGCTCCTCCGTACCCCCGGGCACACCCCGCCAAGGGCAGCCGCCTGTGCCCGCTCTTCCGTACCAGCCATGGGAAGGAGCAGAGCTGCCGGGCCGCCAGGAAGCAGCGCTGGAAGCGGAGCCCCAGCTCTGGCCCGGCCATGACGCTTCAGCGGGGTCTCGAACCGCGCGTATCCGGTAACCAGCCTGACGCTCTCGGCGCTGAGCTGCCCAGACCCGCGGTGGGGCACGGGCTGGCTGTCCGCGCACCCTGATGACGTCATCTGCGCGCCCTCAGAACGTCATCGCTGGGCGCCTCGGCGAAGGACACGGCGCCCGCCTGCCGCCGAGGGCCGGATCAGGCCGCGCCGGGAGCTGTGAGCAGGGCTGGGACCGGGACCGGCGGCGCCATGGCCGGCTACACTGAGGACGAGAAGCTGCGGCTGCAGCAGCTGCGCGCCCTGCGGCGCCGCTGGCTACGAGACCAGGAGCTGAGCGAGCGGGAGCCTGTGCTGCCGCCGCAGCGGCTCGGGCCGGTGGCCGCCTTCTGGGAGCGGTTCCTGAGGCCCGGGGGCCTGTGGCGGCAGCAGGTGAGCGGGGAGGGACGGGGGGGGGGGCCGGGGGCGACGCGCGTCCCCCCAGGCCGGGCCTGACGCGCGTCCCGCTGCCCACAGGTGTACAAGGCCTGCCAGACCAGCGGGTTCGTGCTGGTGCGGGTCCTGGTCCCCGCCTGGATCATCTTCTACTACCTGAAGTACCACGTCATGGTGCGTGTGCGGCGCGGGGAGGGGACACGCGTTAACCCCCGTGCAGGGGTGTGATGACGTGCTGGTTCGGTGTCTGGTCCGGTGGCACTGTGCTCTGTCCCCCCAGGTTTCTCCTTGCTTGGGTGGCACAAATGTGTATTTCTTGGGGTGGGGGGGTGTCTTTCATGGCAGTGAGCAGCTGTGACCATGCCATCTCCTGTGAGCTGGGAAGCTGTCTCCTACTCATTGCTTTCCTGCAGGAGCAGTGATCCTGGGGATATTGAGGCTGGTGTGGGGAGGGGTTGGCCGACATGCTGCTAGTGAGGCAGACCCTTTTTGCTCATACGCTCTAACATTGCCTGGGAGGTGGAGCTTTGTTACCCTCAGGTATTGCTTTAACTGGTGGCCAAGAGGCCGGCTTAACCAGCCCTGAACTCAGTTGCGTTTAGAAGGGTCCTTTCCCCCCTGCTGGAATTCCTGTGTACCACCTCTGGGTAATGCTCTTCTTCTTTTCCCCCTTCCCTCTTTTCTCCTGCCTTCCAGAAAAAGCCTCTCTGTATCGTTACATCAAACCCACGGATATTCCCAGTAAGTCTTTAACACTTGTTTTATCTCGCAGCTTTGTAAACCTGGCAGGAAGGTGGTGACAGGGGGTGAAATATAGCTCTGTGCAGTAGCTATGTGGGGACAGCTTCTCCATGGACATGCCTGATCCCATGGGCAGGCCAGTTGCAGTATGTTGAAGGAGTTTCCATCCTGACCTCAGAGCTGTCCTTGTTTCACCAGGATATTTGAGTACCTGGCTGACAGCACTGCCCATCCTGGAAGGAAAACACACATTCCTTGTAGGAATGCAAGTGTTAGTTACAGCACAACAGTGACTTTGTGAAGGATTTGGGTGTTTGAAGCCCCTGTGAAGGTGTGATTAATGCATGGAATGACACCAAAGGGGTTCTGCTTCTCTTGTGGAAGCTGAGCTCTGCTGACACATCCCTAATTGTGCTTTATCTAAACTAAAACTAAACAGTTCCATCCTTAACAAGCACAGAGCAGCATGCTGAAGGTCAAGCTGTGAGCCTCAGGCTTCAGCCCAATTATTCAGCCTAATTGACTTGAGTTAGGTCAGCTTGGTGGGCCAAGGCAGAGCCTGAAGCTATAACAGACAGCACTTGGCCACCAGATTGGTTTCAGAGGGGTTCCTGGATCCTCATGTGCTGCAGGGTGTGGGTTTGGAGGCTCATGTAAAGCTATGCTCTGCTGAAGGTGGTTGTGACATCCAGAGGGACCGGGACGGGCTCCAGAGGTGGGACCATGTGAACCTCATGGAGTCCAACCAGGCCAAGTGCAGGGTCCTGCCCCTGTGTCATGGCAGTCCCTAGCACAAACACAGGCTGGGGGAGACTGGATTGAGAGCAGCCTTGAGGAGAAAGACTTGGGGATGTTGGTCAATGAACAGCTCCCCATGACCCAGCTTCATTGAGTGCTTGAGGCCAAACTTCCCCATGTGCTGGGCTGCACCCCCAGAGCGTGAGCAGCATGAGAGGGAGGGGATTTTCCCCCTCTGCTGCGGTCTGGGGAGACCCCCCTGCAGTCCTGATCCAGCTCTGGGGAAACAGCACAAGAGGGATGTGGAGCTGTTGGGGTGAGTCCAGAGGAGGCCGTGGAGATGCTGCGAGGGCTGGAGCAGCTCTGCTCTGGAGCCAGGCTGAGAGAGCTGGGCTGGTTCAGCCTGGAGAAGAGAAGGATCCTTAAGGAGAGACCTTAGAGCAGCTCCAGTGCCTAAAGAGCTACAGGAAACCTGGAGAGGGGCTTTGGACAAGGGCCTGTAGGGACAGGACAAGGGGGAATGGCTTTAACCTGACAGAGGGGAGACTGAGATGAGCTCTTAGGCAGAAGCTCTTCCCTGTGAGGGTGCTGAGGCGCTGGCACAGGGTGCCCAGAGGAGCTGTGGCTGCCCCATCCCTGGCAGTGTTCAAGGCCAGGTTGGACGGGGCTTGGAGCAACCTGGTCTAGTGGAAGGTGTCCCTGCCCATGCAGGGGGTTGGAACTGGGTGAGCTTTAAGGTCCCTTCCAGCCTAAACGCATCTGGGATTCTCTGCAGTACTGTAAGTCCAGTATACATTTTTAACCCAAGAGAGTCCCGGGACGTTTAGCTGCTGTTCTGTAGCTGAATAGCCGGAGTAAAGCCAGGGCAGGTTTTGGATCATGAGGTTGTGGTGTGATATAAGCACCTGGGGAAATGCTGAGTGAATGGGGGTGTTGTGAGTGAGCAGATGGTGTGTGTGTGTGGAAGCTGAAGTGAAGGCCTGTGCCGGGTGCAGGAGATGTTCTCACCAGACTCTCTCCTTCCCTCAGGGTGACAGAATTTTAGAGACTGGAGAAATTATTCCACCCATGAAAGAAGAACCTGGTGAGCACCACTGATGGCTAAAGGCTGATTCCATCCTTCAGCGAGCAAGGCAAGAACTGCAACTGCTCTCTCTCTTCTATAAAGGAGCCTATGTTCTGCAACACCTCAGCTTTTCTGTCATTTACTTTCCCCTTAGTCCACCTGATTCCAGTTGCTACCAGTATGGGAGTTTCTGTTGCCTTTGGTGAGGATTATTGCAAAGTGCTGGTGATTCCTAACCTCCAGCTCCTCAGGTTTTTATCTGACTGACAGGATCTGGCAGCAGGATAACATGGGCCTCATAGTAGCAGGAAGGGTTCTCTCTTCCCTTGGGATTGCTCATGGAGAGGTTCACACACAGCAGCTGTCCTCTCCCAGTCCTTCTCCACCAACCAGTTGTGATGGAGCCTTCTGTCGAGAGGGCGGAGCAGAAGTGCTGCTGCTGCCAAAAATCCTTCCTTCTTTGCCCTTTAGCACTTTCTCCTTTTTCTTCAGCCCTGAGTTCAGTCTTCCCACCCTCCCTGGCCCCACGTTCCTGCAGAGCTTCCTTCTGGGGAAGACTGGCTTCCATGGCCATTATGTATCCCTTCTAACATGAGGTCTTCTGTTATTCAGAGTATTTTGGTGGCTACTTTGGGGATAGAATTGGTTCAATCAGCAATCCAAAGGGTTAACCTGAGGTCCAGAACCTCGTGGAATCATGTGTGAGCAGTGTTTGTGAGGTCAAAGTGCTAGGCAGGAGCCACCCCACCCCACTGTGCCTGGATTATGAGCCAGAGCCCTCGGAACCCTTCCAGCCACACACCAGCAGGGCCATGGCCAAGGCCAGCGTGGAAACTCTGCTGCAGCCCACTGAGATAAGGGGACCAGTGGAACCCCCAGCAGGAAACCACACTCAGTCCGCATCCTCCAGGGACAAGCTGAGTCTCACTCCCTCCCAGAGCCTTGCCGAGCCCATGTCCGTCTCCTTCCTCAGGTAAAGGCAGCTCATGAGGGATGGCAAGAGGGGTGGGCTCAAGGAGCTGTAGTGTCCTGGGCAGGGGGAGCTGGAGGGTCAGTGGAGGCTCCTGGGAGTTGGTGCGGGCTGTTGAGGGGGAGCAGTGGGGTTAACAGAAGTTGTTAACAGGGGTGACTGAGACCTGCATGTCCTTCCTGTGGCCTTGTCTCTGTCCCTACCAGTGCCCCATGGTGTGTTGGCTCCCCCAGCACGGAGTTCCCCATGGGCGCTGCTACCCCACACTACTGCAGTCTGAGGCGCACCTTCGCCTGCACCAACTTGCTGCTGCTCAGCCTGGCCCAGGATGAAGAGGCTGATGATGCAGTGGAGGAGTATGATGCAGACAGGAAGGCTCCCCCCCTCCCCTGCACACACACACTAAGCTCCATGGATGCTACCAAGCCTGCCACCCCACGGGTGAGTGACTGCTGAGGGTGTCCCACCTCCCTGGGGTCCCCTGACACCCACTAATGAGATACTGGTTGGGGTGCCCCACATATCCAAGGTGTGTGTGTTCCCCCTGCCCCCTCCTCCCCCCACTTCTGCAGTGCTTGTGAGGAACTGTGACATCCCTTGGGGGCACCCTGCACCATGAGGATGCCTGATGCCCCCAGGGCTCCCAGATTCCCTCAAGGAAGCCCTGATACTTCCTCTAGTGGGAGCCCTTTGGGACTACAAGGAATTTGTAGCACCCCCATAGTCCCAGGGACATCCCCACAAGGTAGCACCCTTAGAGCCACCCCTGATGTCACACATCCCTGTGATATGCTGCCAGGGTGGCTGTTGTAGGCCACAGGCTCAGTCCCAAGGTCTGGTGTAGATCAGGTTGTGGGTCCTCAGGGTCGCCTGGGCATTTTGGCACAGATAACCCCAAGCAGAGGGGATGGATGCCTCTCCCTCACCCGAGGAGGGGGTCAGTGTCCCAACCTCTCCAGCAAAGACAGTTCAGGACACACAACATGGGTATGTGCAGTTGCAGCAGGAGCATTCATCACCATCGCCTTGCCCATTCCACTGAAGAAGACAGCACGTAGTGCTGAGCGAGGAGGAGCAGACACCCGTGTAAG